CCTAACAATTTTCCTAATCGGACACCAAAGGTGCATTTATTTGGATTAAAGCAGAGATGATACTTCCTCAAACGGTGAAACAATTTCAACAAATCCTCTACATGCCCTTCTTCAATCTAGGATTCGGCAATCATATCATCAACATATGCCTCAATTTTCTTGTGCATCAGATCATGGAATATGGTTGTCATAGCCCTCTGGTACGTTGCACCAGCATTCTTCAACCCGAATGGCATCACTCTGTAACAGAATGTTCCCTAGAGGGATATGCAAACTTTTCCGTCTTTCTTTGGTACTGGGACAATATTGGCAATCCACTGAGGGTACACTGATGTCACAAAAAAACCGGCATTAACCTGCTTTAAAACTTCTTCTTTAATTTTCACTGCCATATCAGGGTGAGTTCTTCGCAATTTCTGCTTGGCTGGCGACCGTTTTGGCTTTAGCGGCAAATGATGTTCCACAATATCAGTATCCAACCTCGGCATGTCTTGGTATGACCAAGAAAAGATGTCCACATACTCTTTTAACAATTTAATCAACCTGCTCTTCACGTTGGGATGAAGCAATGCTTCAGTCTTGACTTCTTTCGGATCTTTCTTTGAACCCAAATTAATCGTTTCTAACTGTTCTTTATATAGCTGAATGGTACTTTCCTCACACTCAAGCAACAGTGAAACCTATTCAGGGATTTCATCATATTCCTTTTCTTCGGGCACATACGCATGATATTTAAAGTTAGGAGAGAGTGCATGGTCATTGTATTCAACGAGTTTTTTAATTAATCTGCACATGTTATTTATGATTGATTTTAGAAACTGACACATATAGCAAGTGATTATGCAGATTTAATTATAATTATTATTTATTTTAAAAGGATTTTTCTGATTACCATTTTCCAAGAAAAAGCAGAAAATAAAGACACAATTTGGGAATTAAAGAAAACTTTTATTAATGATTTTAAAGATCAAAGCAATAGATATGCCCATACAATAGCAATACTTTCACCTTGGGCAGAGTGAAAGATTTTTGAAAATATTAACAAAAAAGCATATTACTTTGAAATATGAATGCAAGAGGGAACATCAATAATGATCCAGTTTTGGACTCTAACTCCATGTGTCACGTAGTTCAACATCTGTTGCTCTGCTTCACCTTCCACAATAACATTGATCCTAGGAACAATTGGATGAAGATAACCTCCTTTGTGAAAGGTGTCTTGATATTTTCCCAAAGCAGACTTCGGATTCATATTCTCATTTTTATTACTCTTCGCAGAGAATCCCAAACCAGCTATACTCTTATTCACATTTGGATCAACAATCTGCCCCCACACTTTACTAGGGCCATTATGCACTACCTGTTGAGCATCCTTAAATGAAGCTATAGAATTCTCATTTTCCCTTACATTATCAATGGATAAAGCTTGGAACTGATATCCAACAGTAGCTTGATCCGGTTCCAAAACATTAAAAGAGAATAAATGAGATATTAACAATGCCTGTTCTCCATTTATGAAAACCACCTTTCCTTCCTGAACAAACTTCAGCTTCTGGTGCAAAGTTGAAGTGACAGCCCCTGCCTCGTGGATCCATGGTCGTCCCAGTAAACAACTGTAAGCGGGAATAATATCCATAACCTGGAAATTAATCTAAAATAAGTACGAGCCTATGTGAATAGGCGAATCTACTTCCCCAATGACAGACTTCCTTGATCCATCAAAAGCTTTCATAATTATGTCACTCGAGCGCATGGGAGTTTCTTGGTATTTCAACGTCATGAGCGTGCTCATCGGTATGACATTTAAAGCGGACCCATTGTCAATCAGCACATTGGATAATGAATCGTTCTTACAATTCATGGAGATATGGAAAGCCAAGTTATGATTCCTTCCTTCATCGGGCAATTCGTCATCACATAAACTCAGGTTATTACATGATGTAATATTCCCGACAACACTACTGAATTAGTCCAAAGGCATATCACTTTCCATGAAAGTTTGATCCAATACTCTCATCAAAGATTCCCTGTGGGTAGAAGAGTTCATTAGCAAGGCCAAAATAGATATCTTTGATGGAGTCTGCAACAATTGATCTATAATCCTGTAGTCGCTCATCTTGATAATCTTCAATATATCGTCCACATATTTTCCAGAGTAGTACCACTAGATTCCCCCACTGCTTTCTTAGGTTCGGAAGTTTCAACAACTTTTTTATCAGCATTAGCATTCCCTCGAATGACAGGTGCGAGAACATGGTCATTGCGGGTTACTCGGTTGGCTTCAGCAATATTCTTGACATCGGGGAATGGTTGGATGGGAACTTCCACACCATCCTTTAGGATTTTAGTGTTATATTTATATGGCACGGCTTTGTCTGATTCATAAGGAACAGGACCCGACAAGCAAAGCACCACTGGAGAAATAGTTGGCTTGCTATGATACTCACTATCTATAGGGCGGGAACACCAAAACAAGGCACAATAACATTCACCCCTTCTCCAGAATACTTAGACATCACAGAACCATTGTTGGAGAACACATCTTCATCTGAGGAAAAGAATTCGTCTGTAGAAGCATACTTATCATCTGAGACAGTCTTGGCCGAGCAATCTTCAATCATGTTAATTCCATTGTAATTGTATCTATTGCCAGAAACTTCGATAGTACCATTGTCTATCAACAACTAAACACCCTTTCTCACTATAGAACAACCTCGAGAATATCCGCAGCAGATCTGGCAAGACCCATAATAGTGTTCTTCTTGACCATCCATGTGACAGAAGGTAGCGTGCAACTTCTCCAAATCATCATTCATATACTTCACGTCAAAAATCTGAAACTCACCGAGACATCCAAAGACCATATTCACATCTTCTTTGTACTCTTCTCTAGGCCTGATTATATGAATGAGGCCTTCGTCCATCATTTCATGAAGATCAACTTTTATCTTATCACATCCCTGGATATTTGTACTGCAAATACCACAACCAGCATGGTCATGCGTATAGTAACTGAACTCGCAGAGGTCGGCATGTATCTTTACCAAATCTCCTTCAACCAAGTTGATATCAAAAATCCGAAAGTCCCCTGGACAACCATCAATCATGTTTACAACATTTGCTCCTCCATGTTTAGGCAAAGGATTATCTTTCACGTTAGGGCCAAAATCTTTAAAGGATAACAGGCCAGATCTCACCATCTTTTGTACTTCAGATTTCAAAGGATAACAGTTCTCAATATTGTGCCCCGCTGCTCCCTAATGAAAAGCACACATCTGGTCTGCCTTATAATACCAGGGTAAAGGTGATGGTATAGCAGGGGCGGCCTGGTCTGAACTAATTTCTTCCGAATCAAAGCCGGAAGTAACTCTATATAGCTCATTGGAATAAAGTCGAAAGCCTCTCTCTTCTGACTTTTCCCTTGATTTCCCTGAGGAGGTGGTCTTTGATAGGCAATAGTGGTTGGAGCTACATTGACAACTGGAGTCACAGAAGCAACCTGTTGCTGGTACCGTTGATGTCTTCTAGGTGGCCTAATCTTTATTTCCCCAATAATAGCATTCGTTTCACTTTATTTCTTTCGAGAGAACCCGTATGAAGATTGTTTCGTCCCTTCATCTTTTGTCAAGCGCCCTTCTCTGACAGCCTCTTCCAAACGAACACACATGCTCACCATTTTAGTGAAGTCACTTAGCGAACTAGAGACCATCCTTTCATAATAAAATGATCCAAGGGTTTTCAGAAAGACCTTGGTCATTTCTTGTTCTCCAATATGTGGCACCACCTGGGCAGCTATCTCGAGTCAACGCTACACATATTCTTTGAACGACACCTTGTCTCTCTGAGCCATTTCCCTCAACTGGTCATGGTCAGGTGCCATGAACATATTGACTTGTATTGTATGATGAAGGCTTCTCCCAGATCATTGAAGGTACGAATATTACTATTGTCCAGACACATATACCACTTTAGAGCAACACGAGTTAAACTATCTTGGAAGAAATGAATGAGAAAACACTGATCATTAGTATAGGTAGACATTTTCCTGATATACATCACAAGGTGGTCACAAGGACAAAAGTTTCCCCTGTACCTCTCAAATTCCGGCACTTTAAACTTGGCTGGTGTTGCACCCCAAAATTTTCCATCCTAATTTCTTTTATTCTGGCTTGGTCTTTGCATTCATATTTATCATTCCAATAGGTCATGTGCATAGCATGCATTTTCATAAAAATGGATCACCTGAGGTTCAAAAGATCAGTAGTTAGGGAGTTAGGGTTACATCTGAGTTGAGGTGTATGGGTTGAATGAGCCTGATTATTCATGGTCTTCCTGGTGTACAAGACTATGGAATTAGGGTTTTTTGAGCATGCTCATTTTTGGATTTCTTCTCCATCCAGTTTCGTCAGTTCTATTAGGGTTTATGCCCCTACATCAGGCCAAAGAATCAGGGTTTCTATTCATTGATAAAAGTTCAGTAATTGAAGATCAGGGGAATTAAAGTTCCATGTTAATCTTGATCATACTCTTTCACTATTTTCTATGTTCATCTTTGATGATTCAAGGTCGTCAATTAGGGAAGGACTTTGTCAAGATTTATGGACTGAGTCGTGAAATATGAGTCGTAATACAAAAGGCGAGGTTATGAATTCTGTAGGATTGAGATCTTATTGCCTATTCAAATTACTTATCATACACGTGGATTTGGATTAAAGATTGAAGTGTGGATTTAAGATTTGAATTTGAGTCGAATTCACTATTGTGAATTATCCATAACAATGACTACTTAGTGCCATGAGTTCAGAATTCGCAAGTATGGAGTGCTTGGAGTTACAAAAGCAAAGTTCATCATGATTCAAGATTCAAGGAATTCAACGTATCCATTCATTTCGTCTTTGAATATCACAATCTCATTCAAGTTCAAGTACTAAGTTTAGCATTCACCATTCAAGTTTTACAATGTTTATCATTTACAAACCACAAATCTAATTTTCAAAACCATGATTAGCATGTCTAAACATCATACAAAAAATGTACTACACAAATTTTTAAACCTAAAAATTCTAAATACCCTAACATCTTCATTCCATGTTCATGTCAAGCACCCGTCTTCAAATTCCCTCTCACTTAGCGCAAAATACAGATTGCTTTGCCTTGGTTAACTCCTCGTGTCGTCTTCTCAAACTTTCGTGACTCTAATTTTGAGCCATCTTCAAACTGTCAGGCAGACTTGTTTCGGACATATCCAAACCTACATTCAATCAAAGACCAATTCGTAACAAACCTGTGTTCGACCTAACTGTCAGCTAGACTCAATCGGCCTTGCATATAGTTGCTGAAGTCACATCATCACAATTGATGCAACACGGAACGATGTAAATGCGCGCAGAAAAGTTAGATGTAGAAGAAGCATACTCAGTTTAAGGCAATAATGTAGAATCAGAAAAGAAACGTAAAAGAGAAGATCAGAAATACCTGAGATTAACTTCATCGTAAGTACATCAATCTTCATCGCTTTCGATCGTTATTTATGCGATTGGGTAGAGTGAGAAGAGAATGATCGAACCCCCATGGACTCGAGCGCTGAAGCTCAGGGATACGAGTTTAATTTGAAATAGCAAGAAATGGGGTATTACTGTTCAACTATGGCATCAGAAGAAGACGAAGAAGAATTAGATGGGAACTATGATAGATGTAAGTTCAGTATAACGAGGTCAAACATTTGATTTCCGGACGGCTGTAATCGCCGACCGCCCTTGGTGCAGCGGCGGCTGGGGTTTGGAATTTGAAGCTTAAGTGTGTGAACGTGATAGAAGAGGGAAAGAACGCAGGTTTGAGGGGAAGATGAAAAGCCATAACACTCTTGAGGCCAAAACGCATCGTATCACCTCACTCTCTTTATTCATTTTTTTGTTGTTTCTTTTATTACTAACTATAAAATAACGAGTTGCTGGTTAAAGAAAGAGAATCAATGAATTTAAGTGGACCGGATCCTCTTCCAAGCCTGTTTACCATCATTTTTGTAAGCCTGTTTTTGGGACATCCTAGAATAACTACAAAAAATTTCCTTCTGGACTCATGAATGGGCTTGGTGCGTTTTTGGAATGTTAGGCCAAGCATGGTTGCTGAGTCCTTACCCCATAGTCTGCCTTCACACCCCCTGGATTTATTCTTTCAGTATCTTCCTTTAAATAATTTTGTGGATTGATTAGATTTGCTTGAACCTTTTCTTTACATGATAAAAAATAATAAAATCAATAAAAATTTGTTATTTTTTTAATTATTATTTTGACTTTAGGAAATTAAATTCTGATTATTCGAGTTCGTGATTCACCTTTACTTGTTGAGATCTGGAATCATATGCAGGTTTATTATACGATATATGGATACGCTTGAGATTTCGATTGTGATTTATTTTCGCATCGATAATGCTTTGACACTTATTCTGAGCATTCGATTTCTGACTCTTTTCTTTGTTGGTGCTAGCAGCTCGAGAGATTGTCGGGTTTCTTTTCTTTTTGCTTTACTCTACGGGAAAGTGCTTTGTTTGGTATATTTTCTTTCTACTTTCTCCCCAGATATCGCTTCCTATAGATCATGTGAAGTATGATAACATTAGGTTTAGAAATAGGCTAGTCTCCCTTTGACTTTTCTTTCTCTTTTCGCATATGCATCAAAAACAAAAACTTATTTTTCTTACAAAACCTCAAAAATACTTTAAAATTTTACTGACGAGAATCATATCTTTGTTTAGTATGAGAGATGATAAGTGGGTTTTTTCTCGACCTTATTGTTCTCTTATTCTAAGCTTTGGTGTGGTTCAAGTCTCAAAGACTTATTTCATGAATAAGTAGAAAAATGGATAATGTCTCTCTCTTGAGATCAACTAGCTGTTATCCACAAGTAAGAATACCAACAAACACAAACTCCTTTTGCCTATGGGCTTTTCTCTAAAACCTTTCAAACTCTTTTCAAAAGAGCATGTTAATTCACTTATGTGCTGACACATAAGTCTCCAAAGGTCGGGTTGTGGCAGAAGGCGAAATTAAATATTGTTCATTAAAAAATACAAACCAACAAAAACATTTGAAGCTGAACTACGGCTGCTCTGATTCCTTAAAAGGGATACGTAGGCATCGGGGTAGAGCCCGAACGAGCACAATTTTTATTTTCCCTACATTCTTTTCTCCTTTTCTTTTACATGCACTCTCCCTTTAGCAGTAATAAACAATAAGCATAGATTAAACACACCCATAAGATAGATAACAAGAGTGGATACCGTAGAGTACTACTAGCGTGTGGGGTGTTAATACCTTCCCCTCGCGTAACATACTCCCTTACCCTTATCTCTCGGTCGCAGGACCGTGACTTCTCCCTTGTCTGGTTTTCTAGATGTTTACCTTTCCCTACATGTGGGATAAAATACGTTCGATGGCGACTTCATTGTTTGATGATTTTCAGCTGGTTGTTTCAGCTGGCACCTTTACATTGGGAACGAGGCAGAGTTCGCTGACATTCTGTCCAAAAATTTATTTTCCTCGAAGGGCCTTCATTTCCTTCTGCATCTCATTGAACTGGTATTGAAAGTCATCAAACCGGTCATAGAAACCCACACTTTCACTCGGTGGAGGAACATGACGATAGACTTCATCATTAAAAACGGCATAGCATTCACCGAAGGAGGTGTAGCATAGTGGATCTCATTTCTAGCAGTAGGAGTAACATGAGCCACAGGAGGTGCAGAAGTAGCAGCAGCTTGAACAACTAGAGCGATTGGAGCATCAAGATTGTACCCTTCTAGCATGAAATTTTCGGGCATTCCCCACGGGTAACCCTGAGGCATACGATTCTAAGAAACAATAACTGGGGTAACAGAAATGGGAAATGTCGGAGCTTCGAAAGTGATCATTGTTTGTTTTGGCTGAGTAAAGTGGTGGCTGATTCTGAGCAGCCACCAATGATTCCATCAAAGCATTCAGATTGTCCATACCGGATTTCAAAGTAGTAACTTCTTCGCGTATCTGGCGATTCTCTTGTTCAATATTCTTCATTTTCTTCCTGTAATTAGCCTGAGTATTGTACCGGTGAGACAACTTGCTGAAAAAAGTAGAGAAACTCCGTAAGACACATGGGTATGAACAGAAAGGCAAAAAATATGTACAAGATGATGAATTATATGCAATGCACATGATTTATTTTATTATTATTAATATTTCAAGGGACTCAAAGAATTATAGACAATTTGAAAATACTAAACTACTAACACATTTTTTTTAAATATTGAAAATCTCATTATAACAACGTTAAAACGGATTACAACTTTTTAGTATAAGTTTCAACAATCCCAAGTACAAAAGAAGATAGAATCTAAAATCCTAAGAAATCAAAGATGATGAAGATCACTCCATACACTGATGCTTTCCCGTGAGTTTTGCAATTTGAGCCTTCAACTGCTTGTTCTCATCTGCATACCTGTCGGCAACCACTTTCCAATCACCAAAGTCAGGAAATGAATGACTAAGTCCTGATCGAGCTTTAGAGGAAAACAAACCCTCTTGCTTCCCCATCATCTCTATAGCACGACTCTCAAGAATCTAAATTAGGTCATCCTTCTCTTTCACGTATGCCCGATAGGACGTCTCTAAAGTCTGAAACTTGTTCTTCCAAGCCTATTTCTCTTGCTGCATCTTGACTAGGGCAAGCTGAAGCTCTTCCACATCATCTAAAATGGGAGGAGTGGTCTTCACAAACATATCAGACATAGGTTCTTCACGAGAATATGGCATCTTCAACTGAATTTACCTTGTTTGTACCCACCAAAGATAAGGCTCCAAAGAAATAGCTCCTCTAGGCCCCAAGTCCTTTCTACCCTTCATGTGAATATGGCGCCAAGCCTTTGCAATTTCCTCCTTAGCTTTCTTATGATCCTCTCCCTCTTTAAGAAAGAAACCACTCAGATGAATACTATTTGGCTTATCTTTCATCAGATATACAAGCTGTCGTCATGCAAGAATAGGATTGTAGTTAATTCCCCCCTTTGTACCAAGAAGAGGTACGTTGGGGAAACTACCACAACTATCGATAATATCCACGTCATAGTAAGCCCGATGATTCCAAAAATATCTTAATGAGTGAGAGCCATAATCTTTGGTGCCCAACGAGGTTCCTTCTTGATATCCCAGAAAGCATCGAACCAAGGTAAGTGAGAAATAAACCACTGATACAACAAAGGCGTGCAAAAATTGATCATCCCTTCATGATAAGATTACTGGAGATGAATGGAGTAATAGTAATCTCCTAATAATGTAGGAACTAGATTCCATATCAAAAAGATCCTGATGGCATTGATATCCACAAAGTTGTTGATGTTCAGAAATAAGAACAACCCATAAGCAAGTAGAGAAAAGATAGCCTCAAAAGCAATTGTACTCTTCATCCTAGCAAACTAGAAAGCTTTCTCTAATAAAAACGGAGTGGGTAATCCTCTAATTCCTCCTTTTGTAATCATGTGGGCCTCAACCTCAGACTTCCCCAAGTGAACCATAACAGTTATCTCATGGCACTTTGGCTCTGCCTCCAAACCGGTGAAAGGAACACGATCGATGATAGGTAAACCCAATAGATGAGAATACTCCTCCAATGTATGCAACAACTGATAATAAGGGAAAGTGAAACATCAATACATCTGATCATAGAACTGTACCAAAGTCGATAGAATACCCTCCTTCATCCTGAGCTTCATAAGAGACACAATGGATCCATACTTCTTCCAAAAAATTTGTAGAACTCTCAATCTCGGGAATCAGACTCATCAAATCATCTATCTTAGGATTCTTGAAACTGTACTTCCGAGTCTTTCTTTTTCCATAATACATGGTCGAAAATACCTGAGATATTTGCAAAAAGTCAACTTTCAGTCCCTTGAACCAAAATGTTTGATAGGATGCTCATGGGTGCATGAATGCATGACGCAACAATCACACACAAGATCACAAATATGGGGGGTCCATAGGTTTGACGTCACGAGAATGAAGTCAAAGGTACTACCCACGAGGTATGGTCTAATAGTTTATCACCTGCCAAACAAGGTTCTAAGAGGTTCCTAGAGTCTACATCCTTCCTTCGGATATTACCAACATCCTGATTGACTCGGTAATTAGTA